GCATATTATATAAGCCCCTTCACATTTACCAAACTCCATCATAAAACCAATTATTTTTGTTGCTGTATCTCTTACTGGAAAGCCATTCCAGAACCTCTCTGATCTGGTGTTTAGAAACTTTCTTCTACTTCCCAGTGTAAATTTGATACACCAGGATCATAAGCTCTAACACACCAAGAATACCAACTCACTGGACAAGGGCAATTCTTGACTTCAGAAAAACAGTGGTAAAATCCTGGCCATACTGTTATTGGTACAAAATTCCCATTGACTTGAATGGAGCCAGAATTTTACTTCAAATATTGTCTTAATTAGAGCTTCTATTAAAATCAGGGGGGGTTAGATGGCCTTTAAATAGGAAACAGACTCAGGGTGGCTTTGGCTGAGATTTAGTAACAGGAGCCACAACTAATTTGGACCTGGCTCTGTAAAACACCATCTCTTTGTGATATCATGGTATAACACTACCTTAATAGCAGTCATCAGAAGGTCCTTTGCTCCAGATCAGGGGTGGGCAATTATTTTGGCCAGAGGGCTACTTAGGGAGTTGTAGTGAGCGCTCATGGGCTCGGTCAGCCTCTCCCCCCCAACAATAGCTCACCAAAATTCCTTAAGTGCCCCCGTGAATGGGTGTGATGGGGCTGCGGGTGGGCAGGAAGCGGCATCCAGGAGCAGGATGGGTGGGGCCAGGGTCAAGGCTGGGATTGGGATCATGGGGCAGAGAGAGCACAGGGCCAGAGCCTGGGGCAGAGCCACGATCCCCTCCCCACACATCCCTGTGATAGCTGCTGGTTTTGCTTGCAGGGCTGTGTGGGGAGCAAATCATGGCTCTGCGCAAGGCCTCATCCCATGCTGTCACCACCCAGCAATACTGGGGTCTTTATGGAAACCAGCTAGGACCCATGTGGGCAGATGGTTTGGTGCTGCAGGTGAGTGGAAAGTGGTATCCAGGAGCAGGATGGGCAGGTAGGGGTGGGGATCAGGAGTTGGTGACAGCATGGGATTGGGGCCAGGGACAGAGCCGTGATCCACTCCCAACACGCCCCTGTGATGTGCACTGGTTCTACAAATACGGGCAGGCAGGGAGCAGATCGTGGCTCTGCCCTGAGCCCTAGCCCCATGCTGTCATTGCCCTGCAGTGCTGATCTCCAGCCCTGCCCACTCCAGATGCAGCTCCCTGCCTGCCAGGAAATGGTCCAGCTGCCATGCTGCCCCAGCCCCACTGAATGCCCAGGGGCAGTGGGACCGGCTGCCCACACCATGGCCCAGGCTGCCCCCCATATCTGGGCCAGGTCGGGCCAAGGGACCTGTTGCAGGCTGAACAGAATGCCTTGGCAGGCCAAATCTAGCCCGTGGTCCATATTTTGCCCACCCCTGCTCTAGACCTTACTCAGTCCAACAGAACCTAGATTTAAACATTATGTCATAGTGTGCGGCTCATCTGTCAGACTTCTGTAATGTAAGTGGACAGAGTAGGTGGTTGCTGTTAGAGGTATCAGTTGTTTGAATTGTATATCCATGGGCTGATATTGCTATGGACTTTGTCTTTATTTTTGATCTATAGATATTGTAAAATGTACCTCCTCCTGAATAAAGGGCCTGTAGCTCTGAATTTGGGACTGTTGAGAAATCGGTCCAGTACCTGACTTTGTTCTAGATAATGTATGTGGCTACTTT